GCAAGGAGGGTTTTGTAGTAATCCTGGCACAAAATGAGTAGGTCTTGGGAAGTAATGATGGGAAGAGAAGCACGTAGAAAGAAGAAATGGTAGGCTTTTGACTCACTAGCCATGGCAATTAGTAAAGAGCAAAGGGTGAGGCCTGAAGATGAAGCCAAGGTTTCTATGGTGAGGATGAGGAAAATGGAAGCACCAACGACCAAATGGAAGAGTTGGGAAGGACAATCAGTAAAGGATAATAATTACAGTTTGGAACATATTTGCAAATTCTGATATCAAGTCAGTTAAGTTGAGATGTGCCATGGAAAGCTCATGATATGGGATTAGAGTTCAAGAAAGAAGTCGGGAGTCTTTCCACTGTCATGGAATGATAGTGAATCCTGACAGAAGATCTTTTCAGGTAGAGTGTAGAGAAAAAAGAAAAGCATGATGAAACCTACCACAACAGAATACCCACACTGAGGAAGAAGAACAGAGAAGCAGAGAAATAAAAAGACAACTAGGATAGACTCATGTCACAGAAATTAAAACCAGGAGAACAACAGAGGAGAAAAACAGGACAGAATCAGTTCATTGTGTACAAGACAATGAAAATATTAAACCAAAAGTAACTCTTACACTATTAAACTACTTACAAGAAATGTACAATTGAACCATTTGTATACTGCTATGTATCCCTTTTCATTGTATGCGTAAGAATGGTAGGATTATGTCTTTTGATTATTCTATAATTGACATTTTTTTAGTAGTTGTTTAGTAATAGCAGGAAGAACAATGCTATAATTATATTATTTTAGGGATTCTACTGTTGCTTTTGCTTACTGTTTCCCAAGAATGCAAAAAACCAAGCCTGCTTGAAAGACATTTTAATGAGGCTAATCCCTTTTCAATTTCTGGAGCAATTGTTATAACACACATTGTATAGTTCATCAAAACAAGTGTTGGAATTTCTTCACTTTTTGATGTCTGTCCTGTTTCTAAAAGGATTTGTTTAAAGAGCATCACTTGTGGACTCAATTTATCTACAAAATCTTTACCAACTCTTGACTGAGTAACTGAAGTTGTTAAGCCATCACTATCCTCGCCAGTTCTAAGAAATTTGCCGACAAACTTGTTAATGAATAATGTAGGGTTTTGTGAATTCCCTCACACCCTTATCCAAGAAAGGGTAGGTTTTCTGGGTCAGTTCCTAAAGGCACTACTGCCTAGGTTCAGGCACCCATGCTGTAACTTTCCAAACACCCCCAGATGTATCTGCAGCCTTGGAGAATGGGGAGACCACTGAAGACTGGGTCCTCATTTGGAGCTATACACTTCTTAGAGGTCTTCTCCCAGAATTTACCCCTCACTTTCTTGAGATACAAATTCTGCTACCAAAATTGTTAATAGAAAGGATGACATCTTGATATCTCAAAGGAGGAAATACATAGGGTCATCTTTAAATACAAAGACCCTTGGACTTGAGGAAGGACAGATAGAATTCTCACATGCTGTGCCTACTACAGTTGATTGCAACTCATAGTGACCTCATCTAGGACACAGTAGAACTTCCCCTATAGGGTTTCTTAGGCCTATTATCAGTTTGCCAGGGCTCTTCTCCCATGGGACCATTGGTGAGTCTGAACCACTGACCTTTCAGATAGCAGCCAAGTGCTTAACCATCGTGCTACCAGGAATCCTTCTGCCTCAAATACATCACAATAACATATATGAAAATAATGCACTGGGTTTATAATTTCTATTTCTTCCTCAGATTGCAAAGGTAGAGTATCCTCCCAGAAGTTTCCTCTGAGTTCCCCAAAGCTAGGTTAGGTGTTCTAAGGGCCTTAGTTTATATTGATTGTAGCATTTATCAGACTGAGTTGTATTTGCCTATTTCTTTCTCAGTATCTCTCACCAAGATATGACCTTCTTGAGGGCACAGAATGGTTCTCACTGATGGCTGCATTTCCAGCACGTGGCAGAGTGTCTGGCATGAGGAAGTACTCAGTATGCATGTGTGGAAGGGAGGAAGGAAGGAGGGGAAGGATTCCTGTTAAGGATGGGACAGATCTGCCAAGGAAACTGAGGCATTGGGTTAAACATCATTTGTTAAATAAAAACAGACAAGAAATTTAGGATCCTCTTGCCCCTAAACCATATTTCTTGTGTGTGTGTGTGTGTGTGTGTGTGACTATATCACTCATAATCTACGAGAGAGTCCAACCTTCTATAAATAATTTGTGTGAATTCTTTTTCTGGTCGTTAATAGTGCAGCTTCCTTCTACTCTATTCCAATTCCATATACAAAGAGCACTATGATTGGTATTATACCTTCACCAATATCACTCCTGAGAGATGTGATTATTGTTGGGACTAAATCAGTCTTCTCATTTAAATCACATTTCCAGAAGAAGGTGATCCATATTTGCATGGGAATTAAATCTCACTTAATTTGAACTCTAGGTCATTCAGCCCTATGAGTAGTGATTAATAGTCAGGAAAGGCCAATATTTCTACGTCAGCATCACACACTTAGGGGGTTCACATTTCTGGTCTTCAGAAATAATATGTCACAACAATTGGAGGAGGAGTTTCAAGGCTGCTGAAGGAACAACTCATTCAGTCAGTATAACTACATGGCTCAGAACAGAGGCTGCTAATGGTAACATTAAAGACACATTTTTGTCTTAAGTCTGCCCCCCCATTCCTTTTTTCTAGTTTAAGAAAGAAAGTTACAGTGGGGAGTGTGGTGATAAGGGTCAGGATGGAGTAATTTCACTGGTCTAGAAAAACCCATGTCCATGTATACACATGTACATGAACATGATGATCAAAACAAATATGGTCATACATAAAATCAAACATCCTTTTAAGAAAGAAAAGGTATAATTTGATACTAGCACATAGTAGGTGATGTGTGCATACACAAATGAAGATTAAGTGTGATTCATAGAATCTAAAAGAGCAGGTAATCCAAGAATTATTTATATTGGCTTCAGAGATAGGGTTTGATTGATTTGCAGCATCTTATCAATCAAAATATATCTTTAAACAATATTTTGCTTGGACCGATATTGAAGGCATATCAACCTTTTTGGCACAAATAATAGCTAGTTTTGGAAGAAGGTAAGCAAAACCATTATTGATGGCCTAACAATTGAGATAAATTTTTAAAGTAGCCAGATAGAAAAGTTGAAAGCTATCCAAATTATTTTTTGAAGGATTTTCTTGCACATCCCTAAGTCCTATGCATATTAATATTCTTTCTAAATAAGCAAGAAAAATATAGTGTAATGATTAATATCTGCTAGGTCAACTGGCAATCAGAGGATGCTAACACACTAGACCTCTGAAAACACTTTGTGACACCCTAGGGCAAGGCTAGTGGACGTGATTGTACTTGAGCTTTAGAGAATAACTAAAGAAAATTCAAATAATCCCCATACCCACTGTTAAACTGGAGTTCACATAAATGAGAGGCTCATTTTTTAAAGTCCTGGATTCTGAAAGTCCAGATAAAAGTTCCTATTTCCCAATAGAGAACTTTCTCTGATTTGCCTAGGCATCAGGTTTAGCATCTCTATATTGAAGTGTTAAGTCTCTGGGTCAATATTTCTAGACAAAAAAAAAAAAAAAAAGTTCTTAAGCCTACTCTTTTAAAAGTATTTTGTCATTATTAACATAGAGTGTTTAAATAACTGATGATAGTGCTTAGCTAGACTCTAGGCTAACAGGAACAATCTGAAGTTAATTGCTAGTGTAACTATTAGTCCTTTCAATATGCAGTGAAGGAGCTGTAGGTGAAGAGTCCAACTCCCAACTATGAGATGTGTGTATATTACCAGATTATTCTGGCATGTAATAGTTAAAAATTTATATACAGTTCAGTGATGTTAGTGAATATCATTCTTCTGAAAGAGAACTAAAAAGAAAAAAACTAAGTAAATTTAAAAGATTAAGATTTTAAACAGAAAAAAAAGTAGGCATGGGAAATCTGACAAGTAGCAAAATCATTTTTAACCATTTGAGGAAAAAAATGCAAAATGTGTTTGGAAGCCACACCTTCACAGGCTTTTGGAGTACACTGCCTATGACACTATGTAACAGCTAAGATCTTTATTCTGAGGGGAAGGAAAAAAGGAAAGAAACACAGTTCACATCAAGGGCCTGCCTAGAGCTGGAAGCGTGGACTCCTGCAAACAGATCTCCCAGATTCTTCCTGGGCAAGCACATAGGCAGGGGAAATGAAAACTAGGAAAACAATTTGTACATAGAACAATGAAGGGTAGTTTCATTTTGATTTCTCACTCAAATATGAAAGTGTTTATAATTAAAATACATATACGTATGTTAATAAAAGGCAACAAATAGAGCGGGGTAGTTTTATAAAGCTGCGAGTATAGAAGAGCTCCACTTCTGTGCTTGAGCGTGCTTTAGCAACAGAAAAGTCGTGGGAAAGCAAAGATACAGCTGTTTCCAGGCAAATGGCCCAGAACTGGTTCCAGCATCAACCACCAGAGTCTCCAAAGAACGAGAGAAACACGCCCAAAGCAACTCACCAGCACATGTGTGTGAGGCTGTCAGTAGCGTGGGTTGTGCATTTCCACCCAGTGCAGTCTCCGACCCACTCCGGCACCAGGGGCAGGTGAAGACGCCCAAGCGCAGAGCGCCACCGTGAAACCGGTTCAAATCCCGCTCTGGTCCGGAGCACCCTCCCATTCCTCCACTGTGCGCGCTAAACTGGCTCCTCACTTCCCTCGGCCCAGAAGGAGTTCTCTAACTATCCCCTTCCCAACCTACAACAAAGAAGGCTCTGTAATGGATGCGCTATCGCAGCCAACAGAGATCAAAACCAGGGAATGATCTGGAGAATTGCACCTTGCTCTGCTACACGCTGGCCCGGCGCGAACCCCCGAGGGTCAGTCGGGCAGCTCCGGGGACCGGACAAAGGGTCTGCACGGAGCTGGCCAGGACCGAGGGTAGAGAAACTGGGAAGCGGGCGCTGGACGGGCACTCACCTTCGCAGCCACTCGGCTGCGCTCCTCGTGGAGCAGGAGGGCGGCAAGCAACAGCAGCAGCCAGACGCCGAGCCGGAGCCCCATGGTCCCGCGCCTCGGGGCGGCGGACAGCGGTGGCGGCGGGCGGGGAACTCAGAGCGCGACGCCCTAGTAGCCGGCTAGGCGCTCCTGGAGCCGCGAGTCAGTCACTCTCAGAGAGCCGGGACGCCAGCGCTGCGCATCGTCCTGGGCGCTGCTGCTCAGAGTGGCAGACTTTAGAGCCGATCGCTGAGCTCCCCCAATTTGTTGGCGCTGCCCCCTCCCCTTGGCTGTGCGCGGGCGGCGTTTCAAATGGGAGGACCCTGAGACGCGTGTAAGAGGGAGAGGGAGCGCGCGGCCGAGGGAAGAGCTGCTGTTGCGAGCCAGGAAGTCAGGGCTCTGTGCTTCTCCCCGAGGCTCCCCTTGCGCCCCGATCCTGCTGCGCCTCCAAGCTCGACGCTCCGGGGAGGCGCGCACCAAGCGGGGCGCTCTCGCTCGCTCACCGCGGACCAGAGTGCCGAGAGGGGAGGGCCGAGTGAGACAGGAGGCCGGCGCAGAGGGGGTGGGGAGAGCGTCCGCGCTGTTTGTGTGCGGTAGCCTTCTGCTGGCGGCTCCCGCTCCGAGACTTGGTTCTGGACGGGGAAATGCGCGAGGGCACCAGCCCCTGAAGTTCACCTTTGGAGGTAAGTGTGACCCCAGAGACCTGGGAGCCCGACAGAACGGCGCCAGATTTTGGGGGAGCTTCACAGACTTGGACTGCGCAGTCTTCTAGTTAGGACTGGAAAGGAGGAGCGGCAAGGACAAATAGCCGACTCCGCTAAAAGAAGCCCTAGTGACTAAATGAAAGGCTCCCTTTTTTTTCATAGCTAGTGCATGGGACGTATCTACAGTCACCCGTGAAAGGAAGAGGTGGAACTCAACTTGCTTTCCACGCATATCAAAGATAGAGTTGGGCACTAAAGATGCTGCTCTGCCTTCTCATTCCCTCACTAAATCTACTTTGTTTCTTGCCTTCTAGGCTAAGAAGGACCAGGAGTTTAGAGATCCCGAATTGGGAGCATGGGTCGAGACCAGCGTATGGCGTCTTACCCTACCCTGTGGCGGTAAGAGACTTTCTGCCATTATCTTTGTAGTGCCCTTACGGGGAACTTTTCCTATATAATTTGAAGAAATTGACAAGACGGGAAGTCGACAGCAGCATGTTCACGTAGCTCTTTCACCCTCTCCGTGCAGGTGTCTGCTGCTGGCAACCGTGACCGTGGGGTTCTTGGCCCAGAGCGCCCTGGCGGTAAGTCCTGGCTCCGTTTGATTTGAGCACCAGAGAGTGAGTGGTTGGAACATTACAGTGGCTTTGCTGCAAAGTAGCCGTTGCGTGCTCACCTGAAGTGTGTGTGTGTGTGTGTTCGTGTTCCCCACGTTCCTCAAAAAACTTACTTTCCCTAAAGAACTTATCTACTTTTCCTTCCCTTGGGTTTCCCAACTTCAATCCAGTGTGTTAGAGGCGTTGGCCCTTACTTGGGAGCTGATAATTAAAAAGGTAGCCTAAGGCCATTTTCATTGGTTTGGACAAAGCTTCAACTTGAGGAAACTGGGAAGAGTGTGAGTCACGTGGCCTTGAGGCACCAAGGTGAAGGGCAAGAAAAGCTTTTGTGGAACTCTGAAGCTGGTTTCTAGTACTGTAATTGGCAGAGTTTTTGTCTGGGTATTTTTGTTGTTGGAGGGGTTGTTTGGATGGTTGGTTTTCTTTTGCAAATGGGAAGCTGTGGGGAATGGACAAGGCAAGGAGGAGAATAGGACAACAATGTACTTCATTTTAACAGTCCTGAGGAAATTATGGAAAAATTCACCTTTTCTCCCAAATCTTGGTCTCTGCGGGAAAAGCCACTGCTATAGATAGCTGGCTAAGCCTAGCACCAGTGTTTACTGAGCAGCCACCCCCTCAGTAGTCCTGCCATTCGAAGCCGTTTTCTCAGTACTGTGACTCCACTCAGTGAATAGCATATTGAAGCTTTAAAATTTTACTTAAATAGTTGAAATCACTTTATTGAGCTTTTTGTAATCATGGCTAAACAGCCACAGGTTTAATAGGTCTGTTCAGTTCAGGCCAAGATGTTTAAATACCTACTGCCATTGAGGTAGGACATAATAGAACTGCCCACAGAGTTTCCAATGCTGTAAATCTTTACTGAAGCAGACTGCCTCATCTTTCTCCCGCAGAGTGGCTGGTGGGTTCAAACCATCATCCTTTTGGTTAGCAGCCAAATACCTTAGCCACTGTGCCACCAGAAATTGAACTCACAAGATGTCCTCAACTCCATCCTATGTTTATTGTGATGAGTGTGTATTTTTATTTTATGTAGCTCTCATCTCCAAGGTGAAACTTTATTGGGAACTCCCACTTTCAGTTCCCCTCTATGTAGAACACATTTCTACATGGTCAGTGGAGAAACTGTTAAGTGGTTTATGCAGATTTAAATTCTGTTATTTCATTTTCATATTGTTCTGTTCTAATATAAAACAAAAAGGATTTTAAAGGTAATGGGCAAGGAAGAGTTATCCTAGCTTGGGAAAGAACTACATTAACTTCACTTGTTCTTCTGCCTCCCACTCAGGTTCAGGTCCCAGAGTGGAAGGAAAGAGGAGGGCTCTGAGTATGACCAGAGTTCCAGGCCAGTGTTTTCTTAAAGTGTTGGCCTGTCTCTCTTTCCTTCTTACACTTGCTGAATTAAGAAGACTCCACCTCAGATATTGAGCTAACCCGTTGACCCTTACGTACCTTTATGCTAATATTATATAAAGAGCATGGCCCAGACTTAGGAACCAGAACCTCTCCCAGGAAGAGGTTCCTAGAAAGTACTGAGTAGTATCAAGAGTGTGTATGTGAGTTGTACTGATGCTCAAACTCCTTTATAACCTAGAACCACCTTTTGAAATATTAGTGTTTTCAGTCCTGAATTCTTACCTGGGACTAGTCCTAAAATAGGTGGAAAGGGTATCATGTTAGAACGAACACCTAGATACTAAACCCAGCTCTGCCCTTTATCAAGAATCTTAGACTAATTTCATGATTCCTAAGCCTCAGTTTCTTCACTTTGAAAAAAGTGAGTATCACTAAGTTTGTTATACAGCTCCAGTGCCCTTCTGCATGTATCTACTACACCTCTTTGTCTTCCTAGAAAGCCTCCTAGGTCCTTAAAGCTCACCTTTAGTCTCTTTGACTCTCTGATCCTTGCATATGATAGAGAGCATTTATTACCTAGCAGTGTTCCTCCATGTGTTATCTTTGAATCATCTACAACTAAGTCAACTGTCAGCTTATTAAAAATTCAGATCTCTGGTCCCATCCCTGACCTTCTGATGGACTTTCTGGAGTGGAGCCTGTGAATTTACAGTTCCCCCTGAAACCAAAATTTGGGAGCTAGAATATTGGGTTTAGAATCACTTGCCAATTTATTGTATTTCTCATGGCATTGTTGTTGTTGTTATGTGCTGTTAAGTTGGACCCGACTCATAGCGACCTCTCCTTGGGTTTCTGAGGCGGTATCACTCAGATAAAAAATCTAATCATGTTATTAGAGACATATTAATAAAAAATCTAATCATGTTATTAGAGACATATTAATATTTCTTCACAGATAGGCAATCTGTTTTTTTCTATTATGGTGGGAATCAAAGATAATAGATTTGAATTGTTACTGTATTTATTGACTTTATATTGACCACTGGCTTTAATAGATTTTACTCATTGAACTAAGTTATTGTTGTTAGCTGTTGTTAACTATCCCCTGACTCATGACAACTCCATGCCCAACAGGACTGCACTGTTGTGATCTGTAGGGTTTTCATTGGCTGATTTTTGGAAGTATGTCTCTAGGCCTTCTTTCCTAGTCTGTCTACTATGGGAGCAGTTTCAACATCAGAGCAGCACGCAAGCCTCCACTGATGTATGGGTGGTGGCTGCACGGAGGTGCATTGGCAGGAATGGAACCTAGGTCTCCCACATGAAAGCAGAGAATTCCACCTCTGAACCACTACTACCCCCAATCATTAACTACAAACCAAACGAAACTCTGCTATCAGTCAGGTCTGAGTCATCCCTATAGAGTTTCCAAGGCTGTAAATCTTTACAGGAGCAGACTGCCTCATCTTTCTTCCACAGAGTGGCTTGTGGGTTCAAGCCACTGGTTAGCAGCCAGATGCCTTAACCACTACACCACTAGAGCGCCTATCAATAACTATAGTAATTAAAAAACTGTTTCTTAATTGTGCCGAGTTTAGCTTCTTTCCTATTTGCCATGCTCAAGAATCCTATCTTACCGTCCATTTGTTCCAAGGACACTTGCAAGGTGTAGGTCAATTTAATAAAAAAGGGCTGCCTGTCTTAGCTTGAAGAGCTTTGTAGCAGAAAACCACACTCACTGCCATCAAGTCAGTTCTGACCCTTAGCAACCCTGATTGGGTTTCTGAGACAGTATATCTTTATGGAAGTAGATTTCCCCTTTGTCCTTCAATGGTGCAGCTGGTGGGTTTGAGCCACCAACCTTCTGGTTAGCAGTCAAATGCCTTAGGCACTGTACCACCAGAGCTCCACTGAAACTGGTTAGTGAAAAGCTAGCTGATGTATTTAATAAGTACTTCCTGTGTACCAATTTGTGTGCATGAATTCATTTGATCCTCATAGGAAAACACACTTATGAGGTATATAAGTATTATTATCTCTGTTAGATGGGTGAGGAAACAGGTCCAACGGAATTTAAGTAACTTTCTTTTAAAATAATTTTAAACTTTCATTTAAAACTTTCTTTTAAATAAAGTCATTCTCTTTGTTACATAGTAAAATTAGGATTTGAACCTAGGAACTTCACTGTCACATTAAGCCTTCCAGAGTCAGACTGTAAATCAGTAGTAGGGGTTCTACCAGATTTCAGTATTTGAGTCTCCTGTGGTGTTGGGTTGCTTTCTCCTTGCTCTTTACCTTGAAGTGTCAGAGTAAAGCCTGCATTGATGCCTAGGAAAGGGTATTTCCCATACTCTTCCTCTTTGCTTGTATTCTGAGGACCAAGAGC